GGCAACGCTGTCTACGACTGCGGACTTTCAGGATCTGAAACTTCACGGCCTCTTGCGGCCTTACGGCCAAGCGATCACCTGTTCAAAGGGTCCCTCATGGTTTGCTCCTGAAGTTTCAACTCTGGTTTCTACCACCTCCATCGACCGTCAATCCGGTTCAGCACGTTTAAGCCTTAAGAACTGGGAGCTTCGCTTTCGTTTGCAAATGACGATGCTGCAGGTGGCAGCATTAGGCCATCTTTACCCAAGCTCACTACGGCCACGACTCATCTTTAGAGACGGAGCAGCTGTTAATTGTGCTGCAATGGTCAGTGTTTTTTCTGCGCAATTGATGTCGACGGACTCTTGAACAGCAGCAATAGTAAGCTAGTAGGTCTGAGAGACGCAGATCATGTACTCCAACCACTGCAGACACATGCAACCGAAGGTTTGCCATTACGACGGCATGGCTGCCTGGTTGCATGGAGGCACGGAGTCACAAAGTACCGAACTTCCGCTTTCTTCGATCCGACAAAAACTGTCTGTGGCCATGTGGCAACTACGTAGACACCAAATGCACAACTCGCGAAACTGGGTGCTACACGTACACAAAATATTCAAAATCAGACGAGTCCACCCCCTGCTGTCATTTTGCAACAGTTTATCCCACTGGTAGAGACATGGAGCTACTGACATCAAAGCCCTTGTGTGGCCGTGTGCCTCCTTCCGTTACACTTGCCGACGGCACCGTATTTGGATGTAAAACAGCTGATGGAAACGGCCCCGGCTTCGGTTGAAAGCAAACAAATATCCGAGAGGTGAATGCAAGGCACAAGGTATTGGGCACCATCGTAGTCACGCTGTTACAGAAAAAGACCGGCATCAGCCTTCAAACGAAGCCCATCAAAGATTTGCACATGCAAAGGGTGCTGAGGAGACCGAGGATCCCATGGGGAAACCGGTCGCGAAGCGTTTCACTGCGCGACCTAGGCGTGGCAAAGACGTGGTAAGTCATCTGCATCGGTCGGCTTGTCCACTCCACATCGTTGACAACCCGCACCCTCAACGATCAAGCAGCCAGCAGTGTGCTGCCAGGTGACCAACATCTCACGCTTCGGTGAGTTCTTTTTCCTCTTTTTTGACATTGGGCAATCGGTGGACCTGGGGCATTACAGGAACGAATCTGTGCAGAGTATGACAATATGAGCATGATCATTGATCATCAACATCTGCGCGGAATCGAAGAAAAATAAATCCGTCCCAAAGCTACAATCTGTGTTCCGTCAAAAACTGCTCGAATCCTGAGCAGCTGTGGCAACCTTCGAAGCCATCCTACAAGAGCGTTCGGCCTGCACGGAGCCGTCCTCCCTGAGGTCGACCTCGGTGCACTGGGTGCAGAATGTAAATCTCGAGATCGGCCACTCAATCCGGAATCCTGGCCATGCCTTGTTCAACTACTACGCAACAAGCCGCTTTGCAAGTGACTCATGAAGAAAACACAACTTGGAATCATAATGACTGATTACAGTGATACAGACCACTCCACACCATTCCGAAGCTAGCCCGAGCTGACATCCTGCATCCCACAGTCCTAGCTGGCCATGTTGATGGGCGCATGACTGTTCGCTTCGGTGTCTACTGCTGCGCACAAGAGAGCCGGATGGATATCCGCAATGCAGCTGCGTGGGAGCGTGGACTTGGATACTGCGGATTCCCAAGCAATGCCTTTGAGGATGGAGACCCCTGCCCTTGATACTCGTCTTTGTCCAAACAAAGAACCACAACATTCCGAATATGTGGTAAGGAAAATAACTCATTCTCTCATGTCATGAGTCTTCGAGAGTGTCAGTTCATTTTGGTGTAGAATGTTGCCGAAGTGCCAGGCTAAGAGGTATTTCACCAAGTTTCATCAGGCGGTTCTTTGATTTTTTGAGCGCAGCACCCTGGACAGATCACCGAGCACCCCGTCTCAGCCCACATGCAGGATCGGTCGGTACCTGGGTGTTGACGGTTGGCATGCTGCCACCTCCAAGCAGGAAAAAACTCCCTTTCGGAGGGGATAATCCTGAATGGCCATCTGTACAATGTCTTGCAGGATGATCTTGAGTGCCCATGTGTCGTCGGCGCCGGCACCAATCACGACAGCCATAGTGGTTAGGACCTCCATCTCGCCGGCGGCGCGAGCGAAAGCCTTTAAGGCCGCTTTCGGGTTGTGCTTGCGCGGGTTCATCGTGATTCGTGATCAAACTCGTCATCGATGACATCGGAGGCTCCATGATGCTGATCGTGTCCTGGCGTCCGCAGGAGGCCGGTCTGCTCTTCGCTCTCTCGCGGAAGTGCAAGCTGTGGTGGCCTGAGAGCTGCAACTGCGCCCCAAAACCCTTTAGGCCGTCACTGCCATCACCCGCAATTGGAAACGCTGAGTGCGACTGCGTTCCGCACGTCCACTGGCATCGCAAGCAGCAACAGGAGAGTCTGCAAGAGACATGGCTGCCAGAGCCGTCATAAGTTGAAGTTTCATTCATCCAAGTGCATGCTTCATGGTCGTGTAGCTCAAAGAGATTGGGAGAATTTGGCTGCCAGATCTTCCCGACCCCTTCGTTTCGGGAAAAATTGTTAAGTCTGCCCGGGCCAGATTTCGGTGGTTTCTGAGAAAGACGACGCCCTTCGATGGCCTTTGCGAGTTGATAAGCAACAGTGCATCCAAGGGACTGAGCAAAGTTTCATGGAGCGGGTCAGGCGGGTTGCGAAGCGAGCTGCTCAAGCTTCAAATAGCACCACGGGTGGGCACATCCAACTGATGGGCATTTTCTCTAAACGTTATAGCCTGTGCGTTGAAGCTGCTACTGGAGCGTACAGACATGTTGCAGTACCATGCAGTACCTGTGCTTTTGAGACGACCAGCAATCGAGTCTCAAGGTTTGCTACTTCTTCCTAAGTTTCGGCTTACAGCTATTTGTAGGTGTTGAACTGAGCACCTAGGACCTAGAAAAAACAAAACAACTGAGGTGGCGGCCAAAGCTCGCTGCTCCAGGTCGTTCTCCTGCAACTGAAACCGGCTTAGCCAACAATCTGAAATTAAGGACGAGCTGTGACTGACCGGACGGCTCTGGTTTGAAAGCCGCGCTCACATCAAAAGCCTGTATCAATTAGGTTTCAAGTAGCTGGCAGCTAAGGTTGAAGGAAGATTTGAGGAAGGACTGGTACATCTCCACAGGGGCACGTCCTCGTGTCTCTCGGCACGAATTGTGCAGCCCTAAGTCACTGTGTAACTTCGACGATTGGCTCCGTCTTGAGTTCATGCTGAGGAGCTCTGCTTTCAATCCCTGAGCCTGCTTAGAAAGCTCTTCTGAACCGGTTGCGCGGCACGTTGGGCTCACCTCCGGATGGGCGGTGCTGTCCAGAAGATGCTCCGCTAGAGAGTCCTGGCGCAGAGTGAGGTGCCTTCAGGGCTTGAGGCCAGCGGGGCTTGGGGCTTCAGGTCGACTTCAGTCAAAGAAATCCCCTCGTGGAGATGCAAGTGCAATCCCACTTTGGGATGCTATTGGGCACATGGCTGTGCCTCCAACCAGCGCGTGATTGCCTTGAAGGATCTTCGGGAAACAGCACCCTACCAGTACTTGTCGATGCCTGCCCCACATCACTACAGGGCTGCGAACTCCAATACATGCGATGTTGTGAGTTGGGCTGCAGCAAACGAGGACTTACCCACATTCGTTAGCAGCTGGGCCAACGCGCCGTCAAGGTAGTGCTTGCAGATCAAAATAGGTGGCTCGACGTGCAAACGCATACGTTCAAACACGGCTAGAGCAATGCTGGATTCGACTGGTTTTGAGAAAGAGCCGGTGCGAGGAAAAGGGTGGTACTGCTTCATCACTTCGTCGTTGTAGCAGCTTTGTGGTCCGGCAATACACTGCCACATCGGCTGGTGACAGGACGAAGGCAGAGCGAAGACCAAGATGGCTTTATCAGCCACGTGATGTTCAGGGTCCAGTTACAGCGATTTGATTGTGGACCCACGATCAGCCGAAGAATGCTACCTTCATCCGCCTGTAGGCCGAAAACAGAAAAGCCTACCTGCACCTTCCTTAAGTGATATCATCGATTCTCGTACAGTTCAACATGCAAGCTCTAATTTGAGAACTCGGCCTGATCACAGTGCCTTCTCTTCCAACTCTCCTCAAGTATTATCTTTATCAGCGGGTTGCTGTCAGATGTCTTCCCGAAGCCGACATGATGCGCACTAGATTCATTTACGTAGTTCACATACTCCGAGCTCCGTGCGCGCCGGAGTGGCCGGGCTCCGTAAGCAGGGTCGAAACCCTCCTGGACTACCCGCTCCTTGGCAGCGTTGAACATGGACTCCCATGTAAGGTGCATCTTGTTGCTTCGGACTGTATCACTGGCTTTTTGTTGGCAACTTCTTGTTGCAGAACGGAGACACGCCCATGTCGAAAGCCCAGATGCTTGTAAAACCGACAATAAGGCCTTCTGCAGTTAGCCTCAAGGTGTTCTCAGACGTTTATAGAGGTCAAACTGTTGGACTTCCAGCCGAAAATGTTATTATGCGCACATACGCAATCGTGCTAGCACAGCATACTCACGAAAGAGAAGATTCTTGTGCGAGGATACTCGGGCTTCGGTGGGGTAGCACATGGGAGCCGGAGGACAACGCTGACAACGGAACTAGACTCAGGACTGCTCACACAGCATATGCAGTCCCCGCCGCCTTGAAGCGCGCCGTCAACGAGACGTGCATGCCAGCCTGCCACTCTGATCTTAAAGACCCGTCACGTAGCCTCGCAGTGTCGACCCCATGCCCGGCTGCTGGGAGTGCTCTCTTTTCTATGGTTCAGCCTGCATTGTCACCTTTGGCCGGCCCTCGAAATCTTCGATACGTCACCTAGCAATACTGTCTAAAATATCTTGGAAATGTTGGGCAACATCACGACAGCAATGCACATCCCATGATCTTCCCAACTTGTTCTATGCCGTCCCAGACCACGAGTGAAACGGCTGTCCTCGAGGAGTCGTGCTGCCACCTTGTTGAACTCCACCTCTCATGTTCAAGCCGTCAAACTTTAGTTTCATGCAGGTTCTGCGAGGATCCTTGCCAAAGTCTAGCAGCATGCATCTAGCCACCATTGCTGCACTCCCCTATCACACCGGCCTCAGCAATAGCGCGGATGTTTTCCTGTCGATGGTCTTGCCACTTCTACAGTACTGTACCTACTCATGTTGCAGGCGCCACAGTTCGCCATAGCCAAACGGCATCAACACATGTGCTGCCGGGAAATGGAGGGATGAAGAATGTCAGCACCGAAGACAAAACCTGGAATTCACAGAGCAATGCGGGAGTCCTTTGTGAGCGGTCGGAAGACACAGATCTCGTCTAAACCTTGGTACAGGATGCACTGAGGGCTTGAATCGGATCTTGATAGTGCCAGAATACTCACTGCCTGTTGGAGGCGCCGTCAACACGGGTCAACACCAATATTTTGCATCTCATGTAACCCAAGAACTTAGGTCCCTGCGATTGAGAAACTCCGGGCGGAAGAAGCTCTTCATTTCCTGGCCGGTCATCGTGTGCTGCCTGCCTCTGATACAACCATGCGGCCGCACCCTGCAGGCTCGAGCAAGAGACTCAAAGATGTCTACTGCGTCTGTCCACTTCAAAAGGTGTAACAGCTGCGAGCCCGAATCTTTGCGGCCTCGTGAACAAGCTCTCGGATGACCTGCAAGGAGGATGTGGTGCACTTCTGTTCTGCCGCATGCCCCAAACTCAGGCTGGCTAAACCGGAAACCCTGCTGGATTGGGGTGTACAGCTGTGGGTGTCACATGCTTGGAAGCTTCTTCTGCGAATCGGCTTGGGTTGCACATGGCCACTGGAAGGCAACCTCGCGACCCTTACACTGCGGAACATGCGGCAATGCGACATTGCGCGAAACATCACGAAAAATAGCACACCCTTGCTCCGAACTGAGCACTTCACATCTGCATGCATTCGTGTACGACTACATGATTACATGGTTGAGGCTTTTATGCATTGGAAACGGCTGACATGTGTACGTCTTCAAAAGGGAATGCCCACAAGCATATGTACATACTTACGTACATCCATGCATGATCATGAATGCATGCAAAAAATACCATGCATGCATACGGGCATGCATTCAATTGCATTCATGCCTACAGCCAAAGATGTATACGAGCACGCACTTAAGTTACATGTACCTTACGTTTACAACAGACTTACATTACATTGACATTACATTGACATTACATTGACATTACATTGACATTACACTGACATTACATTGACATTACATTGACATTACATTTACATTACATGTACATGACATCTACATTACACTTACATTCCATTTACATTCCGTTTACATTCCGTGTACATTACATGTACATTACATGTACATTACATGTACATTACATGTACATTACATGTACATTACATGTACATTACATGTACATTACACTTACATTATGCGGGGGGGGGCGGGGCCGAACCATACGGCACCGTACAGGATTGTACTGTGCATATGTGTTATGCGCTTAAACCTGCTCGTTGTTTTAAGTTGTCCTTGCGATTCTTTGTGACTACATTTAGCCAAGCCAAGCTTTATCTACTAAGCCCATCCTTCTGGCACTTCCCACCGAGAGCCTGGTAGCTCTGCTCTTCCGAGTCCTTTGCCAGACAGGTAGGGACCAGGAGAAATGCGGGGGCCCGGAGAGAAAACGCTCGCCATCGCAACATGTCATGTGATCATCTGGCAATGGTCACGATCGGAACGATGACCACAATGATACCAGCAATCATGCGGCAATACCAAGACCAAAATTCACGGCCTAGATCGAAACAACAGAAGGGCGGAATGCATAAGGATAAGACATGTAAGTGGCTAGTTGTAGGATCTTGACCCAACTCAGCAATCATGTTCACACCGTGAGCACATTGACATCCTTCAACTGCGGAAGAGTTCAAGGGCCTCCATCGTGCCAAAGCCCAGGCCGACACCGCCACCTCTGCAAGACTGTCGTAACTCTGTCATGTCTTCGCCCGTGGTCAGTAGCGCCTCACCACCAATTTAGCCAAGCTTTACCGTTAACTGTTTACAAAAATCCGCTCGATCATGGACCGGCCTGCACCTTTCTGGACGCTGCGGCTCCTAGGTGTGACGCGGGGCTCGGGCAGGTGCCCTGAAGGGTCTCTGCGAAAATCTGCTTTTCAACCCGGACTTCGACCATGCACCATGTTCTTGAACCTTGCATCTTATTGTAGAAATCTTACTTTAACAGTGTGTGTTGCAACACAATCTAGATACATGCTTATGTATTCTGACTAGGCCGATTTACACCTACTGACGGCTGAACGAAAACCTCCATCACTTGTGCCTGCGACATTCTGTGTGGTCGTAGTGGGCCGGAACAGCAAAATGTTCACAACCGGAGCCCAGCATGCAGCAGAGCTGGCAAGTTTGGCGTGGGTTCCAGCGGTGTACCCTCCTCCTGGGACCTTTGCATGTCAGTCTGTCTAACGGGACGATGAGCAACTACAGGTGGAGACCTTCTGGTAGCTACCACTTCGGATGATCACGCTTATCGCTGCGTGCTTTGTTGATTGCTTTGCCGATTCAAGCTGGTCGCGAATTCCTTTCAGCTGTTGCGAAATGCACTCCACAAACCCTCCTGCACCCACAAGCCTTGAAGGCCGATGTCACACACAAGAGCAGGCAGCAGGCATTACCCTTGTTGTTCAAGCTTGCGCAAGAACCAACATGCGCAAGACTAAGAACCAGCAACGCACATACTTTCCATTCGAATACATGCACGTGTGCACATCGCATTCGGGGCCAGGCCCAATGTTGGATGTCATGACAACCAGCGTGTTGCTGAAGGACCTGGACAGCAGGCAAAAGCCTTCCCTGGCAGCTTTCCAACTGCTACCTGTAGCCGATTCCATTAAGCCAGCAATGAGCATTGAAAGCAGCCGCAGCATCTGCATGCATTGCATGTACAACTCTTCCCCCAGCACTAGACACACTTAAGCGCTTGTGACCGCAGAGTCCAGAGCCACGGCATTCCATGGCATTCCCGAAACGTGCCAGGTTCGCACAACTCTGCCCTTGGAGTCCGTCAAGCGCCCATCGTCCAAGAGCTGCAGCAATGTGTTGAAGACGTCTGGGTGAGCCTCTTGACAAGGAACCGCCACCTAGACTCTAGACTTAGACAGACTCTCGTCTCTGGTCCAGAGCCTGCGCGCTACATTGTTACATGCCAGCATGCGAAGGCGCCTTCTCCACTTCGTCAAAGAGGACCAAAGAGTAGGGCCTCCGGCGAACTGACTCGGTGAGGGTCCCACCCTCGCCATAGCCCACATACCTTTCCGCAAGATGCGTCGAAGAATTTGCAGGAACCGGTGGCACAAGGAAAAATAACCGTGACTGCTCTCTGAGGAACCCAGGCGGTGCGCCGATGAGCTTCGAGACCGTGTGCTTCTCCATAAACTCGCTCATGTCCAAGCGGATCATGGAATCTTCAGATCCGAAGAAGCAGGATGCCAAAGTCTTGCACAGAGCAGTCTTCCCCACGCCAGTCGGGCCACAAAACATCAATGCGGCGATTGGCCGTGAAGGGTTCCGAAGGCCCGCCCGCGCACGCCGCAAGGCTCGGGATGCGCTGCTGACAGCCTCTGACTGCCCCACAACACTCTTTGCGAGCTCTTGCTCGAGTTTCATGAGTCGCGCCGACTCTGTGGCCGAGACTTGTTCCACAGCGATGCCTGTCCAGCTGGCCACCACCTGGGCTACGTCGGTCTCGGTAACCCACGCCTCCTCCGTGCCCTTGGACCAACCCAGAACCTCGCGCTCCTTGGCTTTCAGCTCCGACGCCTCGTCGAATCTCTCTGCAGCGACAGCTTCCTCCACTCGCGCCCGCAAAAGCCGGAGCTTCTCCTCATCAGCGCCTTTCGGCAAGTCTGTCGCACAGCTCTGCACGGGTTTCTCCAGAGACCGGAGACGGAGCTCGATTTCTTCCTGTCGGTTCTTGAGTCGCTGGGCCTCCTGAAACTCCTCCTTGGAGACAGCGATTCCCTTCTGCTCCTTGAGAGAATCCAACTCCTCTTCGAGCTTCCGCCGCTCCGCCATCTCCTCTTCCCGCTCGGCCTCAGACACAGACACAGCACAAGGGCCGATGAGACCGCGTCGATACAGCAGCACAGCACACCTCGGCGTAGCCCTTCCGGCCTCCAGGAAGAGCTGCTGCCGAACCTTTGCACCTGCCTCATCCATAACATCGATGGCCTTCCAAGCTTTTGGGGTTGTGCTGCACGAAACTTTAGGTGCGCCCCCTTGGTATCGAGGTTATGCCACTGTATCTAACCTGACTGAACTGTCGATCCTTTCACATGTCGGTAAGGCCAGCGACCTTGTCGGGTAGGAACCTGTCGTTGATGTACTGTGCGGCCAGGCGCACTGCAGCTCGGATGCTCTCCGGCTCGTATCCTTGAACCATGTCTGGTTCCAAACAGCAAATGCGGGTGATTCTGCGATGATCGGCAGCTCTTGCTAAGACGGCAAAGCATGCGAAAGGCGCCCAAGCGGTCAAGAGCAGCCCAGTGGCTAAGCTGGTGGTGGCGCTCGTACCTCAGCAAGACGCAAAGAGGCCAAACCTGCGTCGACACGAGGCTCTCAGCTCTTCCATGACCTCGCCCCTCCGCTTCAGCTCCTCCAGGCCCTAAGCCAGTTGTGAAAAACAAGGTCCCCCTGAAAGGTCTGAAACCTGTCGTGGAGCAACCTGGAACGAGGGGGCATCCCGGCAACGACGCCCCACCCCATGCACATCGAGAGGACAATTCTGATCGACTGTGCAAAAACATGACCATGGTGCTACACATCGGCCGAACCCGAGACCCGAATGCAGAAATCTGGTCAATGCACCCGCACACATATGCGTGCACATAACCACTCACCCGTGCATGTAGTAACCGATGCTTATCAGTTGTGTTGCCTGCCTCTCGACCTACCTATCTAATATCTACTGTATCTGTCTATCTACAGGTCTATAGATCTGTCGACCTGTCGATCGATCGATGCATCGCTAGTTGTTTACATATAACATACACATGTATACACACACACCCACGCGCGCGCGCAGAGAGAGAGGGAGGGAGAGAGACAGAGAGAGAGAGAGAGAGAGAGAGAGAGAGACACGGTGCTCATAAAATCAACTATCCGGCTATTCCTGAGACCGATGCTTCGGCGCCAGACCCAGCAAGATCTGCTCGGTTTCGTCCTGGCCGATTCTTTTTCTCACGGGACCGTACAGAGACAGAAGGATACCAATGCAACGTAAGCACAAAATCCAAATGCGTAGCAAAGCCTCCTGGCTGCTTTTTTCATGCTTGCTCGTGTGCGCTTGTTCATTTTGGTTGGGCATTGGTTGGCTCTGGAAAGCCTTTGTTCGGCCCCAGCAGGTTCTCACCCACATTCCGCACAGCCTCATGATTTCGTCCGTCACTCACAGCCGATCAAAACAAAAGTTGCAACATTAGCAATGCGACCAGTCAGTACTAAAACAGTTCTTGTTTGCCCGACCAGTCAATACTAAAACAGTTCTTGCTTGCAGTCCCTTGGTTATAGCCATGATCCTTACTGCTTACTGAAGTTCCAGTGATCTTGCAACATCCATCACTGAATCCATTCTCACTGTTACGATTCTGATGTGATGCTGCTCACAGCTTCAAGACACGGCTGTGCTGATCCGCCTCGGTCGGCTCGGGCACCAAGACCGGCTGGAAACGGCGCTCGAGGGCTGGATCCTGGCCCCGGTGATCGCACCGTCGAAGCGTTGCTGGTACCGCTATGCGCGAACTAATTTGGATGGCACTGCTCATGTTGATGAGGGGTTTTCAATTGCAACCCGAACCCTGCATGTTACTGACGTGTAACCTAAGCCATGCTGAAGCAGTCACTGGATGCAGCGAGAGAACTCCGTCCTCAACAAGACGGAAAATCTGCTACAACATAGCACATGTGCAGCTGTGAATGAACCGGACATTCCATTCGACGAGCTGTAGCTTGCTTCTGCAGATTGCATTGCCACCCGCATCCTCGACTGCAAAACGGCCGCCGCAAGGCTCTGCATTGTGCACAACGCAAACAGAGCATTTGCTGCCCGTTCGGTCGACACCCGTACAACAACAAAATGGCTTGGCTTAGGCATGTGCTACCTTCATCACCTGAAACGGAATAGGCTAAAACATCCCTGATCTGAGCGCGTGCCTTCTCAATGTACTGCCGGTACTCGTCGAGCGTGGTCGCTCCGATGCATTGCAGCTGCCCCCTGTGACTCAGGCTGTTGCTAGCTCCCGAAGCAGTTTTGCCAATCTAGCAGCATGCACTGGATGCAAGCAAAGCAAGATCCTGGCACGAATGGCGGCACACCTCTCACAATCATAAACGTACTTTCCACTCTCAACATCTTCGCCATTTTTCAGGCAAGGCTTTTCACATTATGTTGGTTCTGAAGCCCGGCTTTGCTCCCGGCCCTGTGCCTTGCCAGTGCGGGCTTGAGGAGGTTAGCTGCATCCATGCCGCCACCCTCACCTGCAACACTCGCAAGTTGAAAGTGACGAGTACAGGATTTCCGATCTTTGCATCCTGCAACCACAGCGGCACAGCGGAAAAGGCAAATTTTGGGCCTCCGCTGCTGCCAGCACCAACAAGCGTGTGAACCTGCCCAGTCACAGAACATCTTCATGCGCTGGAACGATGTTGGGCCCGGAACCTGAGGTCTCTGACGGCGGAGTAGAACACACATGCATGGTCTTGTGGCAACAACAAGAGTATGCCTCATCGATCACGAGGATCACCCTCCGATTGCTCTCCGAGACTTCCTTCACCTTGGCGTAGGACATTTCACATGAACCCAAGCCACGAGGAACTTGGTCTTCCCATTGTTCGCTGTCCTTCTTGCCTTCGTTTGCTTTTTAAACACGGCGAGCAGGTATTTGGCATCTCCCGATTTTACTGTCAAGACCGTAAACCCCATAAAAGATTCTGATTCAAGAGACTGATGTTCCCATGTCCCCAGGAATTACTCACATCCCATGGCAGCACAACTCTTTCTCTTCTGCTCTTCCCCTCGCCCCCTGGGTGCTCGAGCCACTGCCCGCAGGCGCTCTTCAAAGTCCCCACGGTACCTGCCATGTTTCAGACCGCCTTCCTTTGAGACCGATCACAAGTATTCACGCAAACGCAGCCTGGTGCCGGCAAGGAGGAGCGCAAGGTCGAGACTCAGGACCTGACATGGCTGTACAGATTGGACGAACTTCTCGCATGACCAGTCATAGCACATCATGTGCAAGCCCACATACTCTCTGCCCTTCCGTTCCCAACAAGAGTAGACAAACCGCCACGTCCCAGCGCCATTATGATCACCACTGCTCTCTGAAGTCTCTGCAGATGGGTGGGCACTAAGAAAGCCAAACACTGAAGCAGTAAGACGGAGAGGCCGTCGGGAATCTTGGCGTGAGCTGGATCAAACCGCCAAAGACAGCACCCGAGGCGAGCGCCCGCTTGTTACGAAGCGTTGGGGGCACACGACCCTGCGATGAGCGTTGCTCCGACCAGGACAACTGAAAGGTCTAATGAGTCTACTGCACACGCCCGCCTGCACGATTCGCTGCGCGAGCCCGCAAGCGATGGAGGTTTTACCTTTTCGATTCGGAATTGTGCCGAATTGATGGTATACAAAAGACTGACGAGTGTCGGTGATTCAGTGGGTGATTAGCCATGAACTGCTTCCGAAAAGCCAACCCCAGCTTCGCCCACGAAGACAGGATTGTTCTTGGACCTCAGATGCACAGACCACCGCTTTCTGTGACGAGCGACAGAAGATGCTGCTGTTGACAGGGTGTACCGTGTCTTAGAGGCTCACCGCCTGCCCAGGATTCGGATCGTCCGCTCCAGCTGCACTTCACGGCCTCAGGACCAGAGATTCTCCAAGAAACGCCTTAAGGTGGAGGCTCAAAGTAGATTATAGGCTGCTTTCTCGCACGGCCGCCGCCTGGCTCTTGAGGGTTTGGGTATCTGCGGTTGAGTGTGGGCTAGGAGTGCTGAGTAGATCTGCTGTCGGCACTTCGGGGCACGGAGCTGCTACCGGGCGAAAGGAGCCTGAATGCCAATTCCCGGGCACTCGGCCGACCAGTGGATCCAGATTTCCCTCCTCTGCAGCCTTGGTGAGGTCCTGGCAATGGGATGTAAAACAGAAGCAACCGCTCGAGGAATTCGACTGCCGGAGCCGTGCTGGTGAGGGGCTCGTCTTTAAGGAAAAACTCGCATCAGCTCGAGCAAAAAGGGCCCGCCTCGGCAAAGCGCAGGGTCTCCGTGAGGCGCAGCTCCGGCTCCTCCTCCTTCGTCGGGCTGGCGGCCTCCACCCAAAGCTGAGCTCACAAGCATGAGTCACACGCATCCGCAGTGGCTTCGCAGCTCCAAGTTTTGTGTGGCTGGCTCCACCTCGAGCGCAGCTGCCGTGACTGGAACAGATGGCGAAGCCTCTCACGATGAGCTGAGGCTGGGACCCGGCTGTGAGGGTTTAGGGTCTGAACATGTTGCATCTTCGCGACTCTGGCACTTTGCAGAGGCCTGCGCATCAAGCTTCGCGAAGACCTGGCTACCAGCTTGCAACCAGCTTGCATCCACCAAAACACTTTGCACTAGGACCCGGCGCTCCCAGTTCGCGAAGAGTGCAGAAGAGACCTCGATCCTTTAAGTTGCGGGCGGCTAGGAGGATGGCCAGAGGTTCCCTCTTCCCCTGCCGTCCCCCACAAAACTGGATTTTGGCTTCCAATCCTCAGGACCAGGGAAGTGGGCTTGTGGGGCGAAACGTCCTCTTGCGAACGGGCCGAGGCGGACGACCCGAAGCGTTTACAATACACATTGCATCATTGCAAGCATTTACAAGCCCACAGGTCCAGACTCCTGCCTTCTTTCGGGTCTCCTCCGCGCTCTCGCATCGAAGCATGTGCCTCGATAGCTCATCCAAATTCTTGCCCGCATCTGGTGCTTCCGGAAATTACATGAGACACCCAAAACTCTACTATCTAGCCGATGCAGCAGGCAAGGAAGCACCACAACAGAAGTCTGCTGAAGCGGTGTACGTGAGCTTCGACACCACTTGAATTCCAGGGTTCAGGCCCAATCAATTTCGTGCCCAGGCTTTCGTCCTGTCGTTTCATGCAGCTAGATCTGCAGGTCGAAGGGACGGCTCGCACAACTTGTCAGCTTCCGCGACTTGCACAAATTTCAAAGGCTACCAACACATGAAGCGTGGCAACCCAGGATCGGTGCTCCAAACGATCAGGTTGTTTCTGTTGTAGGAACGTTACAGATTGTAGGACTCTCAACTGGTGGAGACGACTGCACAGGAAGTGGTTGCGGATGAATGCTCCTGTGCCATCAAAGCCTTCAAGACATGCTCCGAGCTGACCTCGATGTGGTGGAGACATGGGCGCATGCGAAACTTGGTGCAGACACAGGCTGTGTTGTAAGTCACGAAAGTAGCTCGTGCGATACTACCAAGTCAAGAATAACCAGTCACAATGCAGTCAACTCCCACCATGCTGACCCTACATACGATAAGACAGAACAATCGCACCCTACGAATACCAGTTGTTTCTGCAACCCTTGAGTAAAAACCAAGACATGAAACGATATCTGAGTGACTCTTGGTCTATGTGCGTTTCGTTATAGACACAGACACGTACCGATACACAAGTCCGCGCTGGCTGCCAGTGCAACCAACGTTCTGTATGAGCGAACCAAAAACTAAAAATTGCTGTCCAACCCAGTGAAAACAGTTTGTAACCCGAACCTTTCCGCGTCTGGGCAAGTGGACTGCAACATCTGATCACAAAACTAGGACTGGAGGCTTTAAATGAAAACCAACAATGCTGGACAAATCCGCCGAGGCCACAGGCCCACGCCTTCTTGGGGTTAGCTCAGGTACCCTCCACCTAATCCTCCTCCCTGCGGTCCAAATGTTTGGGGACACCCGTTTTTTGCGTTCGTTTGCCACCCCCTTGCCCGGCTTCCCCTCATTTTACCTGATTTGTCGGCCCCCCCCTCCCAGGCCTTCCCCCCCCCTCCTCCCCCCTCATTTTACCTCCCTCCCCCTCCCCCCTCCCTCCCCTCCCCCCCCCCCCTGAGATGTAACCTGGACGTGTATCCCCTCGCTAGGCGTACAGGAACACAGGCACTCAGGTGTCTCTTTTGCTACAGGCGCACAGCTGTAGTCCACTGCACTAGAACCTTGAGCAACAGGCATGGATACATGCAAGTGATACGTGAAACAGACAGGCACCTGGATGTGTAACATTCAGTGTTTCAACCAGGCACAAATTTAAAACACGTAGAACATGAAGTCGGCATCAACTTGCTGCTGTTATTGCCTGTTATTGCTCTCGGTCGAATTAGCGGAGTATTGAGCTACATCTGCGACTTGAAGAGAATCTATACATCTCTCACCTGAAGACAGCTTCAATGAAAAGAGCAGAACACGCACGAAAACGCAAACGGATCTTCAACTGAAAACTTTTGCTTGAAAGTTGCCCACTTGTGTTCAGTTTCCTCTCCAGGCGGAAAGCTTACTGTCACATAAAAGATTGTAGAGCTTAGCTCCACTTGATGCCAACATGACATCTTGCGACACGGCAAATATATAAGGGCATGAGAAGTATCTTATCTTGAGATAAGTATCTTTCTTTGAGAAAGAGTTCTTTAGGAAGTACCTTTTCCTGAGAAAAGCATCTCCCTATGAAATGACGAATGCTCAAGTGGATACCTTCTTCTGAAAGAAGCATTCCGTGAAACACTCTGCCAGCTTCAGTCGATGAACTCTATGTCGCGATCCCAGGTTCTATCACGCCAATGTTCAGTACCATGCCAGCGGTAAATGTCAACCGTGTGGATCGGCATCACCGGAGCATGGCGAACAGGGTCGTAACCGCGGGGATCAGCAGGGGATCTAGGTAACGAGATCTGTGGATCAGGAGCAACGGCATCATCTTGTTCCAAAAGAACCTCGTCGAGTCCATTGTCCATTTCCACATCCGAAGAATCGGAACCTAGTCAGTGTTTCCCCTTGCTCTTGCCCTTGGACTTGTCCTTGGACTTGCCTTTGGACTTGCCCTTGTCGGCGTCCTTGCCTTTTCCTTTGGAGGACTTGCCTCCTTTGCCGCCTTCTCTGCCACCAGGAGGTTGTGCGGGTTCTTGAAGACGTTGAGAACCAGAAGCTTTAGCACCAGAAGCTGCCTCTTCCTGAGAAGAGCTTGCTCCCTGTGGTGCGGCTGCAGGACCAGTAGAACCAGAACCACGCGCCTTGTTCAGCTTCTGTCTCTCTTTTCTTCTGTCCGCGGCTTCCTTCATGGTGTCGGGATTGCGGTTGAGCGCTCTCATCCTGCCTCCAGAGTACTGGTTCGCGTGAACCTCGATGAGGAGCGGAGTGTGAGCGTCATAGTCCCGATCGTTGAGAAGGTACGCGGCGCTGGTGGAGTTTAACAGCCACTCAGAGACATGGATGTCGAACTCAGTCTTTGAAGACGGAAACTCCGCCCATTGATCGTCCGACATGCTGTGTCCCCATTCCATGACTGTAGCCATAACAGGATCCAAACCAGGAAAAGTATTCCAGTCTGGTTGCTTAGCTTCCTTGTATGGCATTCCCAGCGTGTCCTCATACTGTTTCAGAAGCCACATGGCGTTTGCTGACACATGTCTCGCACGAGGCGAACAGAAGTGTGGGCACTTTGGGCTTTCTGACCATGCCTCCAAGAAGTAGTCGAGAAGGCTTTGGTACATTCCGCCACGAATATCCATCGACTCCTGCTTTCGGCCGGTGGCCCGGTAGAGGGCCATGTTGGCGTCGCCACCGATGAGGTCGACTTGGTAGTGCAAGCAGTCGATGAACATGTTGCCCAACACTTCATGAGCCAACGCCACTTTGTCTGCCGCCGCGTCGTTGTGGAGGTGGAAGACACAAACTCTTAGCCGGTCGGATCCAGCTCGCTCCAAGACCTTGGTCAGTGACTCATCTGGAACATCACCACGACTGCCCTGGAGACCGGTCGGTAACGTCATGCCATACACGATTTCCGCGACCATATAGGTTATTGGAAGGGACTCGTGGGCATATCCACTGAGAGTGGAGCCGGCAAGACGGGTGATCGAAGATCCGACACCATTTGTACGACTTCCCACCATCAGGTCCTTGGACTCGTTACGAAGGAATTGCCAACCGCGTGACTTGAGGAAGGCCTCTTCGGAGTCATCGATCTTAGCCGCTTCGCAGAGCATGAACAAATGCGTCTTCGACTGTGCAATCGATTTTATCAAGGCTCCTTTAGATGGTGTAGCATCGTCCCAGTCAATGTGATTAGCAACGGAGCTAGGAGCGGAACGCTTTCTTCCCCTGCTCATGTTGCCGAGATTGAGGATGAGCGCGGCATACTTGGTCTTGCTGGTGAAGATAGGGACATTGGAGTCCTCTGCCAGACCAAAACGATGAATATAAGGATTCGGCGTCTTCTCAAGAGAGAGGTCCCCGATCTCCTCTTCATCGACTCCGGTGCTCAAGAAGTAGTGAAGCATAGCATTCAAAAGTTCTTCTCGAGTTGCCGGATTGCCGCTTGCATCCAGGGACTTCAGCTTATCAAGAAGTGCTTCCATAACATCCAGTGCTGATTCTCGGATGTCAGAGGCCTTGCCCATGAGCTTGTCGTCCAAGGTGCTACGAACGTCCCCAGAACGAAAAACAACGTCCTTTTTGTCGGGACGACGCTCATAGATGGGATCCATCTTGTTGAGTTGGTCGAATAGATCCACCATAGAGAGAGAGTATTTCTGTCCCTTGTGGTTCGGAACATTTACCCTCCAACTCATATGCTGCACCTTGTAGGCGAGAACGGGCTCGTAATCAGGATCACGAAGTCCTGTATGATACAAGCCTGAATAGCCATATCCATGCAACTGCTTGCAGAGCAGCCGCATAGGGCTTTGTCGTTCGATTTCGGTGAGCTGCGTAAGGAAATGTTTGAACTCTTCGAGATCGACGAGCTCGATCTTTTCCTTTGCCTTGCCCATCTTGTCGAACGCGTTCTCATTCTGGTCCTCTGCATCCTTCGCGGCCTGGTAGTACTCAGGATCCGGAACAGTCTTGCATTTCCCCCAGATGCCTTGATCGTGAAGTTCACTTTCATCATCCTTCTCGGGAGAAATGTCTGGCATGGATTCCTCACCCTGTGGTGAGCCTTCCTCAGCCATTTCGACGTTCTCGGACTTACCTCCTTCCTGACCCATGTGCACATCAGGTTCGACCTTCACCTCGGATGCCTCTCCCTGTGGAGAGCTTTCCGTGGCTTCGGTCTTCTGTTGTGGAACATCCACCCCAGATGCCTCCCCATGTGGAGAGCTTTC